TTCATGGTCTGATGATCGGGTCAGAGGCAGAATTTTTCTTTTTTTTTGTTTTTTTTTTTTTTTTTTTTTTTTTGGACAAACAAGGAAATCAACTCTTGCGTGTTGATATTATGAGAGACAGCAGTTATGATTTAATGCACAGCACTGACAGTTTTGATGAATGACACTGAGAAGGTGAATACTGGTATCTCTTATTGATTTTTTTTTTTTTCTTCGCCCGGTTGATCCCAAAGGGCTAGGATGTAATTAAGAAGTAGTCAGTGTTATAGTTTTTCTTTTCTTTCTGTTTTTTTAAGGCTTGGGACCAGCTGTGCTGTGGATTATCTACATTTATTTCACATTTAAACCCCAGTGAGAGGCAAAGTTTCTCAGTCAGCATCTTACAGTGAATGATGGGCTTCTCCATGAATACGCTTCTGGTTTCTAAAGTTGAAACGCTTTTGTTTTTCCACAATCTGAATAATCTTGATCTCTGTCAATCTACACCTTAAATCTCTTGGCAATTATATTGCTTAAATTTAGTTGTTGGTCATGGCTACATCAGAGTTAAGAAAAATCCTTTTGCTTGTGGAAACGATATGCGCTATTGAGAAGACAAATGGTGTACCCAAAAAAAAAAACCTAAAATTAGGTCCCTGCATCATTGCAGGCACATTGTTCCCATGTGGGACCTGACTGGATAAAAAGAAACTTCTATAGATGTGGAGGGAAAGTACAGTGATTCCTGAGTGGGAAAAGATGAGAAACACAAGTTGGAATAGTATAAATAGAGTATGAACTCCACATATAAATAAAAAGTGAAATGTGAGAGACAAACAGCAGACTCTGATAGACGAGGGCTGGAGAAGCCACAGCATTGCGGGATGTTTGGATGGGTTTCAAGGACCCCTGAACATGCTATGAATAGCCTTTTCCTTTCAAATGAATAATGTGTTGCGGGGAGAGAACTAAATCATCCTAATGAGTAGATCTATGAATAAGAGTCCAAAAAGAATTATATAATGCACAGGAAAGTAATTATCCCTGGGGCAGAGGGTTATCTAATATTGGATATCTGCACTGGAGCAATTTTCCAAATTGAGCAGTGAGGCCCCCAAAGTCTACCAGAATAGTAATAATTCCTGATAAGATTATTCATCTACAGGCACAGCATGGTGTTCTGCAGCAGCTTCTCAATGAATTCTGCTCAGGGCACTGACATGCAGCACATTGCAGTGTTTCCCCGTCACATTATTTTTTCACTCCAAGGGGCGGTAAGGTCTCTGAAATGGCACTTGTGAAATGCTGGAATTCCATTAAAATCAATACAAATAAAATGTTTACAAGCACTATAGAGGGCTTGTTTGTTTTTTTTTCTTCAGTGGGGTGATCCATTCCTCCTCCTCCGGGAAAACACTGGTGCTCTCCGAGTCAAAAGAAATCCTCCTCAAGCGTTCGTCTCCATGCACAAAAGATTCCATTTAAATGATTTATGTGCAGCACAGGGGAACAGCTTTTGATAAAGTTGCGCTCTTAATGCTAGAACACATCACCTGGGTTTAGAGAGGAAGAAATGATTCATATGTTAATTTTTGTCTTTGCTAACAGTGTTTTCCTCACTTTACTGTGTGGAGTAAAGGAAAACAAACCTACCAAATTGACATGCCTTTATGTGATAATCATGGGATGGGACGCACCTTTAGTGTTTCAGCGTTTCATTTGTTTTAGGGACATGGGATAAAATATTTAGTGAACATACTTAAATTAACATACTCTTGACTTTAATATGATTTGAGTGGAAAATAAAACAGCATGAGGCTGATTTATTTTTAATGGAGACACATTAAATGCTAGAAAGTGTTGCCTGCTGTTGTCAACACATTTATCTTTGTACACAGTATGATGGAGGAAAGGGAACCGGACCACTGTATCACATAAAAACTTTTTTTTTTTTGGCCCTAAATATCCAGTATTTGTCACTCTAATTTGCATCTTTTTTTCCATGCTAGTCTAGCTAAGTAAATGTACTAGATACATGTACTTTATAGTTTTATTTCACTAGCTAGAGTTTTAAAAAGTAATGTAATACTTAATATTTTTTAAATGCTATTACTATTAATCCTACAAATAATAATATTGATAATAATGAAGCTATGTAAAAAGAATAAAAGTAATTTTATTAAGCTGAGAAAGGACCAGAACATACATTTGTACGATTTATTATTTTTATTATTAACCTAGAGAACTGCTATATCAAGTTGAAGGCTCGTTCGATTGGCTACAGGGTTGAACTTCACCTCCCAGAGTGCACCGCGGTAGGGCTCCTCGTCTCCCATTGGTCTCGCTCATCGAGCAGCGGAGGCAGACATGAGGCAGTGGTGAAAGCCCGGCGGAGAGCTGCGGAGCTGAAATGAAGCGCACACACGGAGCAGCTCACACCGCGCAGCACCGTGCGGCTCGAGGAAGGTAGGCAGGCTCCGCGCCGCTAAAGCTGAAGGCTGCTCCGGCTGAATGAAGGGCTCCGTCCATGCGGAGGCTAGCGCTCTTTCTGCTTCCCTGTGCTGTCGCCGTCCTGGTGCACTTGTGGTTGGCACAACGACCCTCCTCCGCCCCGCTGGACAACAACACATACTCGGGTACTTTTTTAGCCACTACCCCGGGCTTTTACCTCCTCAGCTTCGCAACTTTTTTTCCTTTCGAGCGGCTGGTTAACTTTGCCTTTACCGCCCCGGTGTGGTAGTTTGCTAGTTAGTGTGTGTGTGGACAGGTAGTTAACGGCAGTGACTGTAATGAGTGTTTTCTAATGTGTGTTTTACGGAGGAAAAAGAGGTGAATGTAACATTTGAATAGTGCGGGGCGTTGCTGGGATAGTCCCTCGCCGTGTTACAGTGCAACTACTGTGCTCCGTGGCTGCTTGAAGCGGGTTATCACTCATTATCAGCCCTCACGCTGGCTGTGTGAAGCGGCTTCACCATCGGATCAGTGTAGACTAACTACCTTTTAATGCACGAGGACATTAATGCATCGCAGTAAGTCACCGCAAACTGAGTATGAGAGGAAAACAGGTCTGGTTAGATTTCTTTTTTTTATCCATATGTTACATCTGCCCTTACATTTTGAGTACTCTGCTGTTGTGTGAGGTCATCTTCAGTGAAATGTCTGTCTCCAATGCAGATGAGCCATTACCTTTCTATGAAGTTTTGGTGGGGGTGCTGTCAGCAAGACATCATTATGAACTGCGACAGGCGATAAGAGAGACCTGGCTGGGATACCTCAGACACCACCCCCACTTCCAGCACAGGTCAGCAGGCTGGACCTTCAACTTCACAGCTTTTCTGTTTGTTTTGATTTGTCTTGCCTTTCTTTTTCTCACCATGTCAAATTCATATAGTAGAGAGAAAGGGAGGGGGGGTGAAGCCAGCAGCAGCTGGCAGCAAATAACTGACAGCCCCATCAAGCCTTTTATCTTTACCTGACCAGCGGCCAATATTGTTCTCTTTCATTCTTCCTCTTTGTCCATTTCCTTCTCATTGAGCGATCCGAGCACAGATAAGGTGTGATGGCCTTTAAGCAACCCCCCGGTAACCATGGCAACGCAGGGTGGATAGATGGACAAGCTTTAGAAATCTTGTAGCCGAATATTGCACAAACGGGGGGATATGTCACAGTGTTTGTGGTGTTGTTACATATTTTTTTGTTGTTTTCTCTCATCCAGAGTGGGGGTGAAGTTTATCGTGGGGGAACATGGGTGTCCTATACCAGAGGATGACCGAGAAGATCCTTACTCCTGCTCCCTCCTAAACTTCACCGAGCCAGGTAAAAGAGGGGGAAAATAGAAAAGCAAAAGAGGGGAGAGGCATCTGACTGCAGCTCTAATTCTCTCGGCAATCTGTTGCTTGCGTGCACGGTCGTCAAAGGGGAGCGGAGGCAGGATAACAGCAGAGGAGTCGAGAGAATGAGAAGAATGGCTGTTGAGAAAAAGAGTGAAACACCTTTTTATTCATGTGTTCCCACAGCTCAAGGACAACTTTCTCTTCCTTTTGTATATCTAAGGCCAAAGCAGAAATGCTCACTGCTGCAGGGCTGAGGGAAGAGGAGGTGGGGTAACTAGAACTGCTTAACACTTAGAAAAGTAGAGCTGCACAAAGAGCAGACACTATATGAAATAATTTAACTCCCTCGCAGTCAGTTTTGAACATTGGCAGTAATTGTTAACGTCTGTCGCCTTCGCCGAGCCCGTCCACTTGAGCCGGCTTTCTCCACTTTTACTGGCGTTAAGCTGCCTTCATGGAAACATAATTACAGCTCATCAGAATGGGCTTTTCACACAGTGGCCTTTGGGGTCATGGCAATGCGTTACATATATATTTATTTATTTCTTTTTTTGTTCCCCAGCCCTTTCT